CTTTACAATATTATTATAACATGATCAGAACATTTATGGTAAATGGAAACGTAACAGACAAGAAAAAAAAACGTATACGAAACTAATCTATTCACTATACTTATTCCATAGATTTTTATTTGATTCAAGCATTAATAACAGGCCCGTAGCCAGGGGGGGGGGGTTTATGGTTCGGGCGAACCCCCCTTTTCTAGCGAACCCCCCGGTTTTCTAGCGAACCCCCTCGAATTTTTGAATGAGTCCCACTCCGACAAAATGTCTGTTTTTAACTTGACTAGCATTAAATCAAAATTTAGCACCTCATTCATTAATTGGTAACCCGTTTTTAAATTGTAGCCCGCGATACAAGCTTACATTTATAGAATATCTCAGCTTCAGAAGTTCGGAGATTTAACTTGAACGCAACTCAAACAAACCATGAGTTTACGATGGCACACATAAGGATGGCAAACATCGATAAAAACCCGGCTGCCGTCTCAACTTTCACTGGCCTTTGGCTGAATGTTTGTAAGAAATGTACCAACCGGTAACGAAACCGGTCGCCGTCTACCTAGAGTAAATTGTGCCACCAAACGAAGCTAAAGTTTTGCGACTAAATCCACCAAATGCAGATAAAGATTTGCGACTTAATCACCTGATTGTGGATTGTGTGGTTAGTAAATTCCATAGCCATACTGTTCATAGCGCACACTAATTTTTTTTGGATATTGACTCTCCTTTTTTCCATCCCAAACAAAATATTATTAATAAATCAACATGGTCCATCTCAGTCATCATAGCCAGTCACAAAATTAGGCTAGGAAGTTTGTTTTCAACAGCAAACACACACTAGAGAACGGAGTGCGTCAAAACAAGTGTTTGTTAATTTTTAGTGATAAAGAATCATGAAACGTAGTAGAATAACTGACGTTTTTTCGTCTTTAAGGTGGGTTATTGATTTCAAAATCAATTAGCCTAGCCTAGATGTTGACAAGCTAGGTTCGCTCCTCGTTCATTTAGAGACAGAATTATACCCCGACGACCACAAAGTGTAGTGTAGGCCTGGCAAGTACTTAGTAACGTAACTTAGTAACGTAGGACGTACTACAGGTACTAGGCCTAGGCTTTTGTTGTAAAAGTTGATGTACAAAATGCGCCATAGGCCTATATTTAAAAAAAAAAAACATTTTGCTAATTATTATTGGTTGGCCTGGGACCGGGACAGGCAGGCCAGTTTACCGTCGAAAGTCCTGGAATTGGACGATGATGTCAGTGCACGTTTACAAACAAATGCCATTGATTAGATTGAAAATAGACGCGCTGAATTTCATTTTTTTTTTTTAATGAAAGATAGAATTTATCGAACATTTATCTATATAAAAACAAGATTAATATAATTGTAGAAATTGTATTTCTAAAGATTCATATAATTCATATTTCATTTGGTAGACAATAAATATTCAGGAAGATATACTAAAAACGATTATTAATTCTAAAATGTGCATCAAATCTCAGCTATTATTAATCAGTATGTATTAAAAGTCTTAAAATAATAATTTCGAATTAGGCCTAGTATATAAAAAATAATTGTATTAAAGTTTAGGTTCTCATGATGTCAGATAACGTAGGCCTATTGAATATGATGCTATATTTTGGGCTCTGACTTAATTTAACGATGGCCCTCTCAGTAGTAATGACAATATTTGTGCTTTTTTTAGCCATGTAGTAAAATAGTACTATTATTTTCAGTGTACAAAATGAGAGTCAAGAAGAAGTAGTAGAAGAAGAAGAATAGGAAGAGGAAGAAGAGGAATAGTTTTTTTTTTTTTTTATAATAATAAATGTGTTGAGTATATTGATATTGATTATGCGATGGAGGGGTCTTTCGGTGTTATTTAAACATGCCAATTCTCAGAAAATATTTTCTAATTTTATTATATTACCACCTTTTTATTACATAGATCTTTTTCAAAACATAACTGCTTTTAAAACATTATATACACCAATTAAACACAAAAACTGCTCTGGCTTCGGGGGCTTCGCCCACGACCCCCACCTTGACCCTTAGGCAGGTCCCTGGACCTCACGCCCAGAGAACCCCCCCTTGAAATGACCTGGCTACGGGCCTGAATAAAAATTATATCAATATATATAGTAAGAACCAAAAAAACGTATCTCAAACTCGGTCAACTTCGTAACATCTGCGTTGTTTCTGTAAAAAAAGAAAAATAGCACCAAGTTATACAGTAATATAGTAACAACAACAAACTTTAATACTAATAAAAATAATTGTTAATAAACTAAAGTTACAGTAATTTAAATAACAAATTGGCTGGTTTTTCCAGATACAATGTAAATAAAAAAAATAATAAAAAAATAATAATAATAATAATAATATATAACATCATATCATATTTTAGTATTTATTTCATTTGCTGTATTTGTTATGTAGTAGAAAGCATAGGATTCATAACAAAACACAATAATTTTAATACTAATAAAAATAATTGTTAATAAACTAAAGTTACAGTAATTTAAATGACAAATTGGCTGATTTTTCCAGATACAATGTAAATAAATAAAAATAATAATATAATAATATTAATAATATATTTCATATCATATTTTAGTATTTATTTTATTTGCTGTATTTGTTATGTAGTAGAAAGCATAGGATTCATAGCAAAACGAAAATAAAAATCGTCCGATAATATTAATTGATAGTTTAGTAATAATAGTATTAATTTTATTTGCTTTTAAGTAGCCTTTTGTTACTTATTAGAAATACAACAAAACATAAATTAAAAAAGTATGATAAACCGATTGACGAACTTGCAATGATAATTAGGCCTAGTTATATTAAATTTAGCGTTTCGAAATTTCATTGGCGTTCCATATATTTGTTGAAAACAAACCGCGACCGAAATGAAGCGTGACCGAAATGATCTGTATTCAGCTAGAGTAGCTAGTAGGCTGGCCTAATTGCTGTGAAGCAGCCAATTCATATTCTTGACAGCAATTTGACCTCTGAAAGGTCATTGTTTGTCAAAAAAAAGAGTGCCTAGGAAGACTGAAAAGCGGAGTTTCCTTCTTTCGTTCTTCCGGGTAAAATCAATTACTTTAGGCGACGTTTGTAGACTAGTAAGTAAGTAAGTAACTTTATTGCTTCTCTTTTATAACAGAGGCACAGCCGTAAAGACGTGCAACAATAACAAAATCAGTAAAAACTTAATTACTGTGATTAAATATAGTAAGAAAATACTG